AAAAAAGTTTAAATTATTATTATTATGCAAGTAATTGAGTGGGTTATGATAAAAAAATCACTCTGTATATATATATATATATATGTAGTGTTTTGGTGTTTCTATTTATTACAAAATACTACAATTAAAATTTATAATAATTAATACTTTTTAATAATGAAAAATGATTTTATACGTACATAAAAAAAAAGTACAAATAAAAAGTGTCACTGGATTGACGAACAGCGCGAGACTAAAAAAAATACACGGAGTGTTATCGTACTGCAGTACATCTAAGATAAAACATATAAACATATATAAACGCATTCATTGTGACATGTTATTTAACATCTTTGTTAATCCTTACATATACTTCTTTCCTTGGACATACTTTTCTTTTAAACAAGACTATNACTTCTTTCCTTGGACATAATTTTCTTTTAAACAAGACTATTTTCCTTTATTCAGAGAGGTTCAAACCTTTTAACTTTCATAGAGAAATTAGAACTTTTGAAAATGTTCTGGAAAAACTGACACATTTATATATACTTTAAATTAATGCTTATTTAATATTATATATTTGGAAAAAAAATGTTGGTGAAAACTGACATCAAAGATAAAGAAAAAGAAAAACATAAAATTTTTGGGAAAAAATCTCGATTGTATATTTTATATTTTTTATTTTATATTACTATAACTTTATGTATGGATCAAACCTTAATATATTTTTAAATTAAAGCTTATGTTACATAATTTGCTATGAAAAAAAAATTTCGATATATAGATAGTCTTCATAGTTATAATGGCTACTATATTCAAGAATATGTTATTTTTGAGTTAAAATTTTCAATTTTGTATTTTTTTCTGTTTTAATATAACTGACAAGGGGAGTACATTGATTTTCATAAATATTATATAAATATAATTGACATAGCATACATAATTAAACTTATTTAAAATATTTTGCTTCTTTGAATTCGAGAAAAATNCATAATTAAACTTATTTAAAATATTTTGCTTCTTTGAATTCGAGAAAAATAACTTTAAAATTTAAACTACTTTAAATTGCGCTAAATACTTTTAATCATCCGGCTGATACAGTTGCCTAGTAACACTTTCACGATTGGGGTAAGAAGTTTAAACCCGCATGTGGCAATTAAATTTTTTGAATTTTTAGCTTCGATGCGAAGCTGAGAAGTTATTATTATACTATGATGTGTTTTTTTTTTGTGTCTGTTATCACTTTCTCTCAGCTCTGACCAAACCGATTTCTTTCAGCGATATGTTAAAATATCACAAATCGTATCTAGTCAAAGACATTACCCTCAAAAATTAAGAAAAATTCCCTCATTCCCCGGAAATGGGGGAAACCTCCAAAAAAATTACAAATTTAAAAATCGCTAATTTTCGAAATTTTTAAAAATTTTTTTCTTAAAACTATCATAACTTTTCCAAAAATGACTAAATTAATTTGATTTTTCTTTATAGATACTTGATGTCTTTACCTATCATTTGGTATATTTTTTTTATAAATTTAATCCTTTACCTGCCCACAGGGGGGGGATTTAAAATGACAACTTTTTTACAAAAAATTAATTTTTTCAACTTAACTTTTGAAAGTGATCAAGAATGTCTGACACTTTTATATAAATCTTAAAATAAAGCTAATGTAATGTACATTATTATGGAAAAAAAAAATTTTGGACTTTATTTTGTCTTCACGATGAAAATGGCTACCAAATGCTATTTTTCTGTGAAAATTCTTGATTTTATTTTTTACATTTTACATCAATACAATTTTTATAAGAAATAATATTTATATCCCTCTTGAATAATCAATATTACCCAATTCCAAGTGATTGTGTCGAATTTTCATTCAAATTTTAGTTTTACTTAAAATATTTTCAATTTTTGTTCATTTTGTTAACAGGAACAAAGTATTCTTTGCTTAATCATTTTGAAAGTAAGAATTCAATTATGTATTTGTATTTTCTAGAAGGAGAACGTATAAACGTACGAATTTGTAGACAAATTATGAATAATCAATATTACCCAATTCCAAGTGATTGGGTTCCTACATTTAGTAAACTCTATGTTGGTTTTAAGAAACATGATAGAAATCAAACCGGAATTATCCCTACAGTTTTTTTTATGCACGTCATCGTAAATGTTCTTCCTAATGAAAAAGTACAAGATTCTATATTAAAAAGTTTAAAAGGTATAGAAAATGTTTGCTACGAAGGTGCGTATTAAACTACAATTAAACATTTCAATTACATGATTTAACTAACATTTTATTTAATTTCAGCATGGTTATTGAAAAAAAGAATAGACTTGTATGAAAACCATACTGGTGTGAAAGGTTTAGCATTGAAATGTCTTAATTGCATGACAAAGTAAAAAGCAATATTTTTCATTTATATAAGAAGTGTTTTTTTTTTTTTTTTGAATAAATCATATTTTTACCAAAACACTTTTAAATTTCTTAATAAAATATATAACAAAAAAAAAAAAAAAATAAAAATGATCAATTATATAAATTGAATTATAATTATTTAGGTAACTCGAATGAATTTTTAAATTATTTTTTAATCGATTGTTGGAATTATCAAAAATAGNAAAAAAAAAAAAAAAAAAAAAAAAAAAAAACGCATCATAGTAAAACCAATACCTTCTCAGCTTCGCATCGAAGCTAAAATATTTCTTATTAAAATTAAAAAATTAGAATTTAAATTCAATTTAAATTTAAATGTTTCACTCATTCTTAAAATTTCGATCACTGTATATTTTCCCAAAGTTATCCGTATAAATTTGATTTATATAAGAAATATTTTAAACCCAGGACAGTAAAAATTTAATTACACATCTGACTATAATAATTAAAATAATATTATTGCTTAGGCGTTACTACTTTTACGGATGTACATTTTGCGACATTACACATGGATTGTCACAGGTTTTCTATCATAAAAGTATTCAAAATGTTCATAATGTCTTTCGCCACTAATAAAATAAAATTTTAATTCTACGTTCAATAATAAAATCAAAGGTTTGTAATGCGATCTAGAAATGGCGACAAAAGTAACTCGCAAAGGACGGAGTGTCGCCTTGGGGGAGATACCTTTTTTGGCACGACGTCGCTTCGGTGGTGACATGTAGTCGCCAGGACTTGACGATACGTTATAAAATTCAAATAAACGGGTATCGCTATCTAACGGTATAGGAGCGCGGCAATTGGAGTATAAAAAATAAGAAATGTGCTACTATATTTATCAACAGCAGTAAATTTTGTTGTGGTTTGTGTCAGAAGGGTTCGTCTAACAATTTGACGGTTTCGTTTCTAGAAGCTCGTCGAGTCGGACGGATATTCGGTCAGAGCGTCCGGTCGATAATTGATCACTCAGAACAAAATTGGCAACACATTCCGGTGGGCGATCAATCGTGTTCAAAGGAGATCAATTGTTTGAACGGAACGCGCCGATTATGATGTGCAGGTTAGTTACTGTTCGTTTCTGGAGTATTTATATAATGCAGGAGAAGGCAGTAGGGAGTGAACTGTATAAATGAGTAAATGTATTGAAAGAATATAAAACAATAAACTGTATTTTCAACATAAACTAAAATATTATATATATCAATGTGGGGAGGGGGGCTCTTAATGCTATTGCAACATTGCGTCAAATAAAACAAATAATAAGATAAAAATAAGACAAAACAATATAATTAATAACTACTTATCTATACTGATTTTGACTGGTTGATGCGAATGAAATCATTAGTATGATCATTGAATCAGATAAAATGTATTGTCGCGAATAGTATGATCGTATCGCTATTTTTTTAATAGAGTAAGCAAAAATGATTATTCCATGTATTCGCCCAATAAATAAATAACATTTTATTTTAACTTGTTAATTTAAAAATTATATAACAGTGAATTTATTATTCAAACAAAATCAATACGAATCAGCAATTCAATAGATAATAATTGACAAAGAAAATTGTTGTGTATGGTAATTTTCATGCATAAAATTTAAAATCTTATACAATGTTTTTATCATATTTCAAATAATAGTCTTAATGTTTTTAAAAATATTATATAATAAAAATTGATCACTTGTGGCTAATTAATTAAATAAAATTAAAACTATATTAAAAATATTATTCATTTAAAAACTAAAAAATATTAAACTCAAAAGCCAC